GGGGGGGGGGGGGGGGGGGGGTCCATAAGATTGATTTAATCAATTATTTGAGGTTTCTGAGGTGCGTCCACCCCGTCACTTAACTTGCTAAAGCAAGAGCAACTCCAGCTAGCTAAGGCTAGCTTTCGTGATAAACTCCTAGGTCCTAGACTCCATATAGACGGCTCGGCGGCTAGTAGGGGCATCCATTCTAGCGAGCGCGTAATAACACTTTCTACCATTCAACTAGTGTTACCAAATCACGTTTGGGATTGCTTGGGCTCTTTTCATCCCTGTGGGTTAAGATTGAACAGCCAATTCTTCTTTTGGTAAGTGGTTGTCACCTCAGAGAGATTGCACCTGGGGTTGCATTTTTTTGCATTTTGTTAGGCAGTGTGTGTCTTGTTTGCATTTTTCCTTTGGGTTGGTTTTGCTGTTTTATTTCTTTTTTATTTTTTGAACCTAGAACAAGCCCAAAAACACATCATAACAATAATGTTCAACACCTTGGATCAAATCATGATGCGTTCACCCACCACTGCAGTCGGTTTCACCACACGAGTTCGGCTCACCAACAGCCGCCGGTCGCCGCCGAGTGGCATCCGTTTGTGCACTGTCCGAGGGTCTCGACCTGGGTTCGGCGCGGTGCCCAAGAAGCGCTGGGGATCTCTCGGGTGACGGGCCCTGAGGCCAACCCCAAGTTCTTGGCAAGGGAAACTCCTGGCATAAACAGCTGCACTCTCCTGCAAGTGCATGCAATTGTTGATTTTTCACTTGCCAGTCTGTGGCCAGTCTGTGGGGAACCCATCAGCCCACATCAGCCCACCAAACACCAAAAACTCGTCACCGCACCGGACCCGGTGCGGCCGGGCAGCGCCAGTGGCACCGTCAGGCTCTCCGAGTCGCCGGGGAGCAAGACGCTCCGCGCGCGCCGGGTGAGCGCATTGAGGGCAGACCTGCGGGGTTCAGCGAGTGTGGGGAGGTAGGCCATGGTAGCCGACGGTAGACCTATTTTTGGTATATGAATGTATAGGAATGCGTGTCCAAGCTTGTCCAAGGTTAATTTGTTCTAGGGTTTGTGGCCGCATCATCGGCTGCTTGGTTTTTCAGGCAGGTCCACCCTTGCAAAGCTCATGCATGCAACCTGGTTGCGGAACTTTATAAAGCTGAGAGTTGGAGGACTGCAACACTGAAACTATCTGAAACTCGCCGCATATGCACAGCATGTACATCTCCAAGCCATGCATTTGCAGAGTTCGAGACCTATCTCAGGATGCCTCATACCTCCCTCATGCTGCTCCCATGTTGCTGCGTGCCTCCAGTCGCCTTCGGTTTCTGGTGTCCCGATGTCGGCATCATCCACCTGCAAATGAACAACTCATAACAAATCAACAAGCTGTTGATTCCACCCCGTTAGATTGGCACGACACCATTTGAGGGAGAAACATCACACCTTCCAACTTTGGGCTGTCGAAGTCACCAAGTGACCAAAACAAACTGTGTTCAAGCAAAAAGCCTAAAACAACCCCTCGCAAGGGGGTTGGGGACCAAGCATTGAAACTACACCTGTTTCTGTCCTGGTCATCCGTCACGACACCTATGAACCGTTCCTGAATCTCAGTCTGTGTTGTTCAAAACCTTTTGATCTAAATATATCTATATATATATATATAAATATAGAGTGTCAAGTCCTTGGTCTCCATTCCTTTGATTGCCAACGGTTCCGGCGGCTCCAGCAAATTCCAAGGCTCCGGCATGGTTCATCATGGTTGGCCGGCATGAGAAATGTGCATTGATCTGTGCGTTGATCAGGGGTGGTTGAAGTAAAGTGACTGTGGCACTTCTTGCCTTGAGCTAGCTCAGAAACAGCCAGCGTCTCATTTGTACATCACCTGGTTCTCTAAACGGATGAAACACCAAAGATGCAATTTGTGTGGGACTGTGGGACCATCCTTTGGGGTTATAATGGGTTATATATATAATTATATATATATATTTACTCATGAGCAAATGAGCAAGAGTCCTTAGATGTCCTTATGTAGTTCTCATTAGCATGTTACCGGGTGCTCTGCCCAAAAATCATGGACTTGTATCACCAGTAGGATCAGCAAACCCATCCCCAGCGTGTTTTGTGTGTTTTGGACACTCACGATCGCGTTCGTGGCTGACTTCGATGATCCGCCGTTGTGGCTGTCTTGGTGTCTCGATCCAGCAGCTTCAGAGGCCAGTTCGGCAAAAGAATGACCACAGGTCATGGAATTGTGTGGCAAGTTCATCCAATGGGTTTTCCGGATTGGGGCAGGAGTTCTCTCAATGCGTGAAAGCGGGCCTGTTTTTGGCCCTCATACATCCTAGCGGTCCTAGAGCTGTATATAAATGAGTGTCAGTTTCCTTACCTTCAAGTGCGCAAGTAGCGCAAGTATGCCTCCCTGCATTTTTGAAGCGGAACTTCAAACACGCTCCAAGGGATTTTCGGCCGCCAGGCAGTCGCCAGCCTGAGGCAACTCTTCGGATCATGTTGGCAAGAAAGATTTCTCGTCTGTGGGGGCTTCACACTCGGACAACCCCCTCCCCCTTGTATTCCCAAAGGTCATCTCCTCATAATGCATTCCAAGAATACGATTGTGCTCTACAAATTGATTACTGAAAGCTGAATTTCCGTACACCTTCTGGCAAAATCCAAACATCCATAAACCTCTTTTTTACCATACCCTACCATGCCTGCCTGCTTTCTGCAGCCAAAGTCGGAGTCTAGGAACTCTTTTCGTTGTCGCCAGCCTGGCCGGGATGGCGAAGGGCATGTGCGGCACAGAAAAGGCCCATGATGAGCCCCAGGGGGTCCCAGAAGTTGCCGATCCGGGGTGTCCATGCATTGGCACCGGATCGGTGTCATTTTTGAACAGTCTGACTTCATCTGATGTCCTACTGGTGAAACCTGTTTGCTAACTTGTTCCGCTCAACGATGATTATGTTGACAATTGTTGACACAAATGATTGACCATATATTATCGGATAATTGTGGCACGTCTCGCTGAACCCGCGCATCGTTGCACCGATGGATCATGATGGATCCAGAGTTTGTACGACAGGGATCCTGAAGGGCTTGGACACTTCTGACTAGGTCAGCGCTGATTGGCGCGTTGCCTGGCCTGTTCCATGGCGGACATGATGCCATACATGGAACCCCATGTCAGCACCAGCTGGGGCAGGCCCATCTGTAGCATCTCTTTGCTCCTGAGGCTGTGCTGTGGCTGCGATGGCTAAGGGAGTCGAACCATGGCAGGTCTGGAGCTGAAGAAACCCCAAAACAAGCGACGTCCGGGTGGTTCAGGACGGACACAAAGTTGATCGCGATTTGATCAGTCGCCGGCCAACTGCTGGAGACGCGAGCCCCACCTGTCTAAGGAGGGCCACACGTTCTCCAGGATGGTGTGTTTTCACCTTCCACCCACTATAATAGGCTTGGTGCACAACTGTGGGCCACGGGTATGGGAGAAAGTCCTTGACAAATCGTGCAAATACAGTATATAGTATAAAAATGCTTCATCGTTTCAGCATGTTTCAGCTGTAAATCAATTGTGAAGCCGACTCAGTGTTTGGTAGAGTGAGGCCAACTGCTGCTGCCATTCTCCAAAGTATCTGGTCGGCTGGGCTTAGCGACTCTATTATCCGCCGACCCCTGCCTAGCAGACGCCTAGGCGGGGAGGCGCCCGGGACACCGGAGGGAGAAACACTGCAATGCCTAGACCCGAGCCTCTCTGGAACCTGTCACCCCGACCTGCACACCCTTCCCGGCACCTTTGGCTTAGGCTGCCAGCGCACGTTTGGCTGACTCCTGCCCCGCAGCCTTTGCATTAGGCGGGAGCCTCTGGAACGTGCAGCCCGTGCACTGCAGCCTTAGAGCTGAGCCTCTGGAAGCTGCTCCCAGCGCCTTTGGCTTACTCCTGCATCGCAGCCTTGCTGGCAGAACTGAGCCTCTGGAAGCTGCCACCTCGGCCTGCGCCTCTTTCTTTAGGGCCCCGAAGGTGACGTCCAGGCGCCCTCAAACCCTTC